CTGGAAGAAGGAGACAAAGTTTTAGAAATATGTAACTTTCCTAGGCTGAATCACAAAGAACTGGAAAACCTAAATAGACTGATCAACAGTCAGGAAATCACTGCTCTTTGAAACATCATTCAGTAACCTCCCCCCCCCAAAAAAGTCCAGGACCAGACGGCTTCACTTGTGAATTCTACTGAACATTCAAAGATTTAATGCCTAACCTCAAACTCTTCCAAATTTAAGAAGAGGAACTACTTTGTAACTCATTTTATGAGGCCAGCATTACCCTAACACCAACATCAGGCAAGGGCAACACACACACACACATTCGCCACACACAAACTACAGGCCAATATCTCTGATGAACATAGATGCAAAAATCCTCAACAAAATACTTAGCAAGCTGAATGCAATAACAGATTAAAAAGATAATACAATCAAGTGGTTCAACCACTTGAGATACAAGAAATGTTCAACATGTGCAAACCAATTAATGTGATAAACTGCACGAACAACATGAAAGTTAAAAATCATATGATCATATCAATAGATGAAGAAAAAATGTTTGACCAGATACAACACCCATTTATGATTAAGATACTCAATAAAATGGGTATAGAAGGAAAGTACCTCAACCTAACAAAGACCCATGTGTGACAAACCCTCCGTAATTAGCCTGCCTGATGGTGAAAAACTGAAAGCTTTTCCTCTAAGATCAGGAACAAGACAAGGATGCCTACTCTCACCACTGTTATTTGACATTGTACTGAAAATCCTAGTCTGAGGAATCAGGCAAGACGCAAGAGAAGGAAGTAAAAGGCATCTAAATTGGGAATAAAAAAGTGAAACTGTCACAATTTGCAGATGATTCTGATAAAGTAGGTAGTTAGGTAGGCATACACAGAGCAGGAACATAGGCCAAGTACAGAATGCCACCAAGGTGGAAAATCCCAGGTAGCTAGCAACAGACAAAACTGGGAAAAAACATGTATTAGAGGCTAGGACCTTACCCCCAGGGTGGTCCTTCCACCCACAGCATGTAGCTACTCATGCAGTTTGGACCCCCTGACCTTTCATATTGCTGGTCATGCAGCTTAGACCCCTTAGATGATGAACAAGGGGGCTGGAGGGTAGTCTCACAGACTCCCATGCATGATCACCCCTTTAAGCATTAAACCCTCAGAACAATGAGGTCCTGATCAGCAGCAAATAATCTCAGGAACAAAGCCTTGGTTCTGTTAACCACAGACACAGAATTTTGGCCAAACTAGAGATAACAACTAGGGCTCAGTTGTGTTTCAGCTCCAGAGCCAGAAAAGCAATAAAACCAAATGAAGTGATTCCATGGCTGACATCAGAATGCAATGACTAATGACCCTTGCTCTAGCGCTGACCATCAGTAGAGAACATGACCCTGAAAGAACACATTTGGAAAACCGATGGATATTCTGCTGAGATTCTCACCTGACATCTCCCCTAAAATCCCCTTTCGGAAAACAGATAAAAACTCTTAAGATGAAGGAGCCAGTGCACATGAGCTCTCTCTTCAGCCCATCTGCACCTTCCCCCTTGTTTCCATGGGCTCTCCCTCTCCTCTTTCTCTCTCTCTCTTTCATACCTGTACCTTTCACCACCTGCTTCTTTCTTCAGGTGAGCTCTCTCTAGAATGTGCTTTCCCCCCTCTTCTTCCCTGGGGCACATTATCTTTGCTTTCTTTTTCCTAAGCTCCAAGGGCCCATCTTTTGCTGCTGTAACTTATTTCCTGAACCCATGCTGCCCAGCTGGCTCACTTCTTCTACCTCTGTGACTTACTAAATAAACTTATCATGGTAGAGTTCTTGGTTCTGACTCTTTCTTAGCCAAACTCAGTGACAGAGGTCTAACTCCACAGTTAACAATTCTATACATAGAACACCCTAAAGACTTCATCAAAAAACTATTAAAAAGAATAAACAAATACAGTCAAGTTGCAGGATATAACATCAATGTACAAAAATCTGTTGCATTACTATATACTAACAATGAAATAATGGAAAAAGGAATGAAGAAAACCATCCCACTTGCAACTGCAACAAAAAGGATAAAATATAGGAATAAACTTAATGAAGGAAGTAAAGGACCAATGCACTGAAAGCTACAGAACACTGTTGAAAGAAATTGAAAACAGAGATAGGTAAGGATATTGTGTTCACGGATTGGAAGAATTAACATAGTTAAAGTGGCCATATTACCTAAGCAATATACAGATCTAATGCAATTCCCACCAAAATCTCAATGGTATTTTTAAAAGAAATAGAAAAAAATCATCAATTTGTATGGAACCCCCCCAAAAAACCCAAATAGCCAAAGCAATCCTGAGAAAAAAAGAACAAAGCTGAAAGTATCACATTCCCTGATTTCAAATTATACTGCAAAGCTAAAGTAATCAAAACAGTATGATACTGGCAGAAAAAGAGACATACAGATGAATGAAATGTAATTGAGAGCCCCAGAATAAACCCACACAAATATGTACAACTAGCTTTCAACAAAGGAGCCAAAAACATACAAGAAGAAAGGAAAGCCTCCTTAATAAATGGTGGTGGGAAAACTGGAAAGCCACACACAAAAGAATGAAACTAGAATGCTATCTGACACCACACACAAAAATTAACTCAATGGATGCAGGGGTGTCCAACCTTCTGGAGTCTCTGTGCCACACTGGAAGAAGAAGAGTTGTGTTGGGCTACACATTAAACACACAAACACTAATGAAAACTGATGAGCAAAAAAAAGGTTTAAGTAAATTTATGATTTTGTGTTGGGCTGAATTTATAGCCATCCTGGGCTGTGTGTGGCCTGAAGGCCACAGGTTGGACACCCTGGCATTAAAGACTTAAATATAAGACCTTAAAAAATAAAATACATAGAAGAAAACATAGGCACTAAACTTATGGTTCTTGGTCTCAGAGGGGTTTCTGTGAATTTGACCCTAAATGCAAGGAAAGTAAAAGCAAAAATAAATGAATGGGACTACATCAAAATAAAAGCTTCTGAAAAAATTAAAAAAAAATAAAAGCTTCTGCATAGTAAAAGAAATCAACAAAGAGGCAACCAATAAAATGGGAGAATATATTTGCAAACGATACCTCACAAATATACAAAGAACTCATACAACTTAACAACAACAACAATAAAAAGCCCCAAACAATTCAATTAAAAAATGGGCAGAAGACCAGAACAGTCACTTTTCCCAAGAAGATATACAGATGGCCAACAGATAGATGAAAAGATGCTCAACCTCACTAACTATACAGTAAATGCAAATCAAAACCACAATGACATGTATCTAACACCTGTTAGGATGGCTATTTATCAGTAAGACAAAAATAACAAGTGTTGGAGAGGGTGTGGTGAAGAGAGAACCTTTGCACACTACTATTAAATAGGTGCAGCCACTATGGAAAACAGTAATGAGGCTCCTCAAAAAATTCAGAGTAGAAGTACCATATGACCCCAGCAAGCCCTCTTCTGGGTATCTTACCCATTAAATTTGAAAACTCTTACTCTTAAATGATATATGTACCCCTATATTCACTGCAGCATTATTCATGATAGCCAAGTTATAGAAATAATTTAAGTGTCCATCAGATGACTGGATAAAGATGACATGGCACATATATATGCAATGGAATACTACTCAGTCCTAAGAAATAATGCATGGTTATTGAGAGTGTCATGCTAAGTGAAATAAGTACAACATGTCAGATGGAAAATGACAAGAATCATGTGATTTCACTCACATACGGGATATAAAACAGAAAGCAATGAACAAACAGAACAAAATAAAAATGACACAGACAACAGGATGGTGGTTACCAGACAGACAGGGGACAAAACACATGGTGACCAAAGGAGACTTTGGGTGGTGAGCACACAATGCAGCACACAGAGGCTGTACTACACAACCTGAAAACCTGCATAATGTTATTAACCTATGCTACCCTGGTGAATTCAATTTTTAAAAAATGATGAGGTAGTTAAAAATACTAGGAAAAAAGAATGATTTAGTGCCTTCCTTGCAATATAATGAATACAATTCCAAACAACCATTAAGCTCACCAAAATAGAGTTATAAAATTCAATAATCACAAAACTGGAAAAACAGGTACACTTAAATATATTGCTGGTAGTGCTGTAAACTTTTTATTCTAGAAAACAATTTAATAACAAATTTAATAAAAACTATCAAGACTGTTCTTATACACATTCATGAAGTATTCTTTGATGGGCTAATGCTGCTTTGGGGCGCACATGCCGTGAAAGTAACCTAAGTTACGGTAGCAACAGAAAGGAAGGAGCACCGAGATATGCAGTACTATTTACCACGCCAGGATTTGCAGCTCATCCATACACCAAGTAGTAGAAGACTCAAACAAAATGTAGCATAGAGCCACAATAGAATAGTTATTAAAACTGAAAATTATGTAGACTAAGTCAATATTCAGAAATATGTATATGATTATGTTTTACACAAAATTTAAAAACAATATAATATGGAATCACTGATTACAACTATGTAAAGTATGTTTACTGACAAAGATTAGAAATTAATGTGGAATGATGCAACTTTATAATTTTTAAATTCTTATTTTGTAAGGTTGTTTAAATTCCTGATAGACGAAATAAATATAAAAGATCTCAACAGTCTAGCCTAAAAAAAAAACAAGATTTTAACTTTACATTCTAGTAACTACGCAATTCACAAGGTTAAATAAAGCTTGTAAAACTTACTCCTTTGGTCTCACATCTTATTCAAACCTACTCCATTCAATTTTAGTAAGAAATATATAGTGTTCAATAATAGCTCACCTTTGATCTAGTGGGGTTTTAAAAAGAAAAAGACAACTACTTACAAGAAATGAAAGAAGAATTCTGAAAGTTTTCCGCATGAAGCAAACTTCTGTGAACTGTCTACATTACTCATTTACTTAGCACACAGTGTGCCCTGAAACCGAGAACAGGATCACACTTACCTGATGCGATGACAGGATCCTGCATGAGCTCCCTAGTGATTGGACATATAAATTCATCAGGAATTTCGGAAGAAAGGGTTTTCACCTGTGTCCTGAGCTCTTCAATTTTCCTCAGAACTTTACTACGCAGCCCTAAAGATTCTAAAAAGAAATTTCTCTGTTAGGACTGGAGAACTACTGGTAATCTTTATGCAATTCTTTACCAAACAGGAAGATTTTATCTACTACAAGCAAAAATCTTCAGATATAATGTTTACCACATATAACTGTTTTCTTTATAAATTCATGATTTTTTGTAGTATAAGGTACTGGTGATTAATATGAATCAGCAACTATTGGACTGTTTGTTCTTTTCTTTAAAAAGATTTTATTTATTTATTTTTAGAGAGAGGGGAGGGGAGGGAGAAAAGGAGAAAAACATAGCAGTGCAAGAGATACATTGATTGTTTGCTTCTCACACACCCTCAACTGGGGACCTGGTCTGTAACCCACACATATGCCCTGACTGGGAATTGAACCAGTGACCTTTCGGTTCACAGACCAGCACTCAATCCATGGAGCCAAACAGCCAGGGCAATAGATTGTCTATTGTAAACAACCTTAGATTCCAAAAGTTCCTCAAGGTTGCTGAACACTAATTTATGACACAAAATCAGAAAACGCTCATTATTAATGGTTATTTAGACAACAAAAATTTTTCTAAACATAAATTTTAAATATGTTCAGTTTAAAAATATAAAAATTCCATCTTACATTTTTAAACTATGAAATTGGATGTATTTGTTAATTGTTCTCATATGAAACACAACCACAGATGAAGTTCATCTGTTTGTCTAAGACTGTACACACAAGTTTCATTCATTTGTATTTTTACTTTTATCTTAAGTTTTAAAAATTCTTAATGTTTAATTTCAGAAAGTTTAGTGTTATTAGCTTTTCCCACATTTAGAACAATCTGACAGTTCTACTTCAGGTGAAGGTGTTTGGGGTGATGTGGGTAGGAGAATTACATTCCGGAAAGCCCAGTCGTTCCCATAAAAAGCCGCATCAGCTTTCTTTTTGTTGGCAAATATCCTTGGAAGCTAGATATAATATCTCCCAATTGGAGGGTAGATCTGTTTCCAGGTGAGTAAAAAGTTGCCTTCCTCTTTGGCTGGTTTGCTAGCAATCCCCTTATAAGACTGGAGGGAGCAGGTGGGTTGGGGCTTAAGTGTCTGCAGCTGTGACACAAACATAAATTGGTCCCCAAAGTCTGGAAATGGGAACCAATCTGAACATGAAGCTCATGCTCTGCTGCTGTGCCTTAACTGTTTAAAGCTGTCTGGACTCACTGACCACATCTAAGGAAGTGTGGCAAGTCAACCTAGCAGCTGCTGCCACTCAGACTGCTTCACTGCTTTCTTATGACTTCTTTCCTAATTCATTGAAACCAAACTGAGGATTTGTTCAACAATTTTTTATTTCTATTTTGCAGCTCCTAATTTACTGAAGATTTTTTCCATTAAACCAGATAATAATAAAAAGAAAATGTATTAAAATAACTGAACATTAATGTTATTTGTTACATTCTGTTTGATATATGAAAACATTCATGATATATAAGACATACCTAGGAGATAAGGAAAGAAGTTCATTAATTTGCTGAGCCCTAAAATTACAATGGCAGCTCTGATGAATCTCACAAGCCATCTGGGGTCCTCTAAACAGATCAGAGGTCTCAACTTTGACTGTTCTTTAAAAATCATGTGGGAGCTTGGTTTTTAATTTTTTTTTCTTGTGTCTATGAGTTTAATGTGTTGAATTTACTAACTTTCCAAATCTTAAAACACAAACACTAGCCATCAGAGAGATGCAAATTAAAACCACACTGAAATATCACCTCACACTGGTCAGAATGGCCATCATAACCAAATAAACAAACAACAAGTGTGGGGTGAGGTTATGGAGAAAAGGGAACCCTAGTGCACTGTTGGTGGGAATGCAGACTAGTGAAGCCACTGTGGAAAGCAGTATGGAATTTCCTCAGAAGACTGAACATGGAACTGCCTTTTGACCTGGCAATTCTGCTGCTGGGATTATGCCCTAAGAATCCTAAAACAGCAATTCAAAAGAACCTATGCACCCCAATGTTCATAGCAGCACAATTTACAATAGACAATAGCTGGAAACAGCCTAAATGCCCATCAGTAAATTAATGGATCAAAAAACTGTGGTACATTTACACAATAGAATACTACACAGCAGAAAGAAGGAACTCCTCCCCTTCACGACAGCATGGATGGAACTGGACAGCATTATGCTAAGTGAAATAAATAAGCCAGACAGTGAGGGACAAATACCATATGATCTCCTCTATATGTTGAACCTAATTAACAAAACAAACAAACAAACAAGCAAAACAAAACTAGAGACATGGAAATAAAGAACAAACTGACAGTAACCAGGGGGAAGGAGGGAGAGGGATAACAGGGGAAAGAAGGGGAAGGCTCATCAAGGAATGTGTATAAAGGACCCATGGACAAAGCCAAAGGGGAATAGGATTGAGAGTGGGAGGTGGGAGGTGGGGGGTCTGTGTGGCATGGAAGAGTGGTAGGGGGGTAAATGGAGACAAGTGTACTTGAACAACAATAAAAAATACAAATAAAAAAATAAAAACACCCCCCCCACAAACAAAGCAGATACCTTGTTTACTAGAGAATATGCAACATTTTGGTGTCCATTTCTAATAATGATTTTCCTAATTCAGCTATTAGATCACCATATAACTTAAATTGTATTTCAATTTTGGTTTGGGCCTGAAACTTCCTACTGGGGTTCTTTTAGGGGGTCAAACTGTTCTGAAATTAGGTAGTGGTATACATACTAAAAATCACTGAATTTTACATATAAAAATTACTTGAACACTGAAAATTACAGAACACTGTTGAAAAAAAATTTAAAAAGACCTGAATAAACAGAAAAATATCCCATGCTTATGGATTGGAAAATTTAATAATTGTTAGGATGACAATAATCCTCAAGTTGATCCACACATTCAGTATAATTCCTGTGAATATCAGGTGGCTTTTTTTTTTTGCAGAAATTGAAATTTTGCATAAAATTCATATGGACATGCAAGGAACCCAGAGTAGCAAAATCAATCTTGAAAAACAGAAACAAAAACAAAGATGGAGAACACATACTTTTCAATTAAAAAATTACTACAAATCCACAGTAATTAAAACAGTGTGGTACGTATAATAGACAAATAAATCAATGAAATGGAACTGAAAGTGCAGAAATCAACCCTTACATTTATGGTCAATTGATTTTCAACAAGGTACCAAGGTAATTCAAAGGGGAAAGAATAGTCTTTTCAACAAATGGGGCTGGACAACTAGATACCCACATCTAAAAGAATGAAGCTAGACCCCTACTTTATATGGTTTATAAAAATTAAGTCAGAAATTGATCACACACCTAAATCTAAGAGCTAAAACTGTAAAAGTCATACAAGAAAACATAGGTGTAAATCTTTGGTACTTGGGATTAAGCAATGGTTAGATATTATACCTATAGCACATGCAACAAAAGAACAGAAACAGATAAACTGGACTTCATCAAAAGTTAAAACTTTCATGTAGTAAAGGAAGAAAATACTTACAGATCATGTATCTAATAAGAATCTAGTATCCAAATTTATATATAAACAACTCAACAATAAAAAGACAACCTAATTTTTTTTATATCAGCAAAGGATCTGAATAGACATTTCTCGAAAGAAGATACACAAGTGGCCAACAAGCACACTATCCGTCAGGAAAATGCATATCAAAAGCACGACAAACCACTAGGATGGCTATAATTTAAAAAGCAAACACATGTTGATGACATGAAAAAATTGGAATCCACATGCACTGCTAGTGAGAAAGTAAATAAAACAGCATAGCTGCTTTGGCAAATAGTCTGGCAGTTCCTCAAATGTAAGCACAGAGTCACCATTGGACCTGCCGATTCCATTCCTAGTTACATGTCCGAGAAAACTGCAAACAGATGCCCACTCGGTTAGGCATGATGTTCCTAACAGCATTCTTCATAATAGCTAAAAATTGGAAACAGTCCAAATTCAATCAACTGATAAATGGATGAGCAAAAAGTGATAAATTTATACAATGGAATGTTATTCAGTCATGAAAAGAAATGAAGTACTAACATATACTACAAGGAGGATAAACCTTGAAAACCTGCTAAGTAGAAGAGGCCAGACACAAAAGGCCGTATATTACATGATTCCATTTGCATGAAGAATCAAGAAGAGGTAAATCCTTAAACAGAAAGTAGACTAGTGGTTGCCAGGGCCTAGAGAGAAAGGGAATAAGAAGTGACTACTAATAGGTGTGGAGTTTCTTTTCGAAGGGATGAAAATGTTTGAAATTAGATAGTGGTAGTAGTTTTACAACTCCATATATATATTAAAAACCACTTATAAAAGGGTGCATTTTATCACATGTAATTATATCTCAAATTTTTAAATACATGTTTTATTTAAAAATTTTAATTATGGTTTATTGTTTATGCTATTACAGTCATCCCAAATTTTCCCTCACACAGTGCCCCCACTCCCTCAGGCAATCCCCACACCATTGACCATGCCCATGGGTCCTGCATATATGTTCTTTGGCTACTCTATTTATTCCCTATGCCCTACTTTACACCCCCATGACTCTTCTGTAACTACCAATTTATACTTCTTACTCCCTTCACCTTTTTACCCATACTCCTACCCCTGACACCCTCCCATATGGTAATCTTATCTTTTTAAGTTGATTTTATTAGGGTGACATTGGCTAATAAGACTATATAGATTTCAGGACTACAATTCTACATCTATACACTGTATTGTGTGTTCACCACCCCAAGTCAAGTCTCCTTCCATCACCATTTCTCCCCCTTTACTCTCTCCTGCCTCTCCCATCCCCCTTTCCATATGGTAATCACCATACCATTGTCTGTCTATGAAGCAGAGTTTATTTTTGTTTGTTTGTTTAATCCCTTCACCTTTTCCACCCAGCCCCAACCCCCGAAATTAGTTGCATAGTAGCTTTAGTTACCTTAACATTTATTTTCCATAACCCAGCAATTTTCAACCAGTGTGCTGTGCCACACTAGTCTTCCACAGGAATTTTTAAAACATGTAATACTTGACTATTCAGTCAGGGGCACTGATCTCTTTTCCCTTAGACTGTCAAATAAGAAAGTGACAATAGCCAATACGACAGCAGCTATCTGGTGTAACTGAATCAAAATTATACCCATTTTTTGTCAGATAAGCAAAAAATATAATGTGGTTTTTGGTGTGCCACAGAAATTTAGTAATTAGTTTGTGTGTGCCATGAGATGAAAAAGGTTGAAAATCGCTGCCCTACTCTAATAAACATATATTGTCCTATACAAAGACATAATCTCCCACTAATCTTACCAATTTTCAAATCATCAGCCAGACTTTCTTTTGTAAGATTCAACAGTTCTTTCCCATCAATGTTATTCATTTTGAAAACGCCAGCAAGGTCTTTTAACTCTTGTGCACAAAGCCATGTTGAGACGTCATCTTCGGACCAATCTTCAGTAAACGGCTTCAGCTGATCTTCTGTGCTCCTTGCTTCAAAACAGACAAACCAAAACCCCACCAAAAAAAGGCAAGTAAAATAACAACAAACAAAAGAAAAACTGTTTCCTTTATAAACAGTCTCACTTTGCCCTCAAATTTGTGTTTTACTGTTTTTTTTAAAGATTATATTTTTATTTATTTATTTATTTATTTATTTATTTAGAGAGGGAAGGGAGGGAGAAAGAGAGAGAGAGAAACATCAATGTGCGATTGCTGGGGGCTGTGGCCTGCAACCCAGGCATGTACCCTGACTGGAATCGAACCTGCGACACTTTGGTTCGCAGCTCGCGCTCAATCCACTGAACTACACCAGCCAGGGCTGTGTTTTACTGTTTTAACATCCTTTTAAAAAATTTCAGAAAATCAAGTAGCAGGTATAATTAAAGGATTATTTAGTACATTAAATGCTATTTTGGAATCTTTTTTACTGAATAAGAACAATTTTTCTTTACTATATAAAATTCTTATCAGTGAAAGAATTCTTTTGACTCTATCACCTGCATATCAGGACCACTATTTGGTTAATTCTGGCAGTGATTAAAAAAAACTTAAATTATGTGTCAATGTTGCCTGAGGGGACCAAAATAAAACTATAATTTCTGTTTTGTTTGCAGGCTATATTTATCTGAAAAAATGAGTATGAAATGTAAATAATTAGCTTACAAAACTATGGGAAGTGTTATATACATGAATGTGTGTCCAAACTATTTATCAACAGTTCCAACATGAGTCAACTACTTTATCACTGTCTTCTCTAAAATTATCTTTAAATTATATTCAGTATGTATGTATACTTTATATTGGAAAAAGCAATGTTAATGATTTGTCAAAGATACAGAATTTCTGATTTTAATGGTGAAGGGGTTTGAATTGGGTTAAATATGTTGTCCTCACTAACCTTGGCAGAGCGTTCCTGGATCAAATTGCCAGATGTTCACAGTTTTGTCCATTGAACCAGTAGCGAGTAGAAGGATATTGGGTGCAAAGGCACAAGTTGTGACATACCTAGTTAATAAAAACAACTATTATATACCCTCAGACTAATGTTTTAATTATATTAGTACAAAGTGGGGTTAAGTCCAGACCTGGTATGCTGAGTCAATATGTGAAGCATATTCTCAGTGTTCTGAAGGAGAAAAAAAGAAAACAGCTTTAAATTTACTTAGGCACAACTTACTAATAAAAACTTGTTTGACATGAATGGTTTATATGCTCTATGTATTTTAACATTATTATTAGTCGCTAATATAGGTTGAAACTTTATGCAATGAATAAAGAATAGAAACTATCCCTAATAATATTATCAGCTACCGGTTTCACTCTTTCTTAATAATCAACACCGTTGTCTACAAGAACTTCCCCAGAAATTTTTCAGGGAAATTTTTTTGTGTACTCCAGGCTTTTGGTGATTTGTTTGAACTTACTAATAGTAACCTAAACATCTATAGCATGAAATAATTTGTATTTTACTATGGCATTTGACTTGTACCCATTGCAGGACCAGTGAGTAAAAATTAGTCACTTAGATTCTGAGTACACTTAGCTGGCCATCCAGCATCTAGCTGTACATAACAGATTCATATATGTATTTTATGGAAAAATTTAATGTTATAATTGTTTTTGCAAATGTAAAATCTCATGATAATTTCATCAAAATCTTTAAGGATCTACTTTATCTCATGTGAGTATTCTTTCCCAATTCCTGCCAGAACTCTCAGTAATGTGAACTTCTACATGGAGAATTAGTTCCTTACTTGACCCAAACACCTTTTCTCCATATATTTTGTTGATTATGTTATTACAGTTGTCCCATTTTTTTCTCCCCTTTATTTCCCTCCAACCTGGACCCTACCTCCTACCAGCATTCCCCCCTCTTAGTTCATGTCCATGGGTCGTACATGTAAGTTCTTTGGCTTCTATATTTCCTATACTATTCTTAACTTCCCCTGTCTATTTTGTACTTACCATTTATGCTTATTTCCTGTACCTTTTCCCTCTTTTGCCCCCCTCAAACTCCCTACTGATAACCCTCCATGTGCTCTCCATTACTGTGACTCTGTTCCTGTTCTAGTTGTTTGCTTAGTTTTCGTTTTGTTTTTTAGGTTCAGTTGTTGATAGTTGTGAGTTTGCTGTCATTTTACTGTTGATAGTTTTGATCTTCTTTTTCTTAGATAAGTCCCTTTAACATTTCATATAACAAGGGCTTGGGGATGATGAACTCCTTTAACTTGACCTTATCTGGGAAGCACTTTATCTGCCCTTCCATTCTAAATGATAGCTTTGCTGGATAGAGTAATCTTGGATGTAGGTCCTTGCCTTTCATGACTTTGAATACTTCTTTCCAGCCCCTTCTTGCCTGTAAGGTTTCTTTTGAGAAATCAGCTCATAGTCTTACAGGAACTCTTTGTAGGTAACTGTCTCCTCCTCTCTTGCTGCTTTTAAGATTCTCTCCTTACCTTTAATCTTGGGAAATGTAATTATGATGTGTCTTCATGTGTTTCTCCTTGGATCCAGATTCTTTGGGATTCTCTGAGTGTCCTGGACTTTCATGTCTGGTTCCTTTGCCAGATGGGGAAAGTTCTCCTTCATTATTTGTTCAAATAAATTTTCAATTTCTTGCTCTTCCTCTTCTCCTTCTGGCACTCCTATGATTTGGTTGTTGGAACGTCTAAAGTTGTCCTGGAGGTTCCTAAGCCTCTCCTCATTTTTTTGAATTCTTATTTCTTCATTCTGTTCTGGTTGAATTTTTATTTCTTCCTTCTGGTCCAAATCATTGATGTGATTCCTGGTTTCCTTCCCTTCACTGTCAGTTGCCTGTATATTTTTTCTTATGTCTCTTTGCATAGCTTTCACTTTTTCCTCTATTTTATGACCACAGTCAACCATTTCTGTGAGTACCTTGATTACCAGTGTTTTGACCTTTACATCTGTAAGGTGGCTGTCTCTTCACTGCTTAGTTCTATCTTTGGATTTTTGATCTGTTCTTTCATTTGGGCCATATTTCTTTGTCTTGGGGGCCTATTATGTTCTAAGGGACGGAGCCTCAGGTATTCGTCATCTCAGGGCAACCCAGGTTGCTGTGTTGTGGTGCTGTATGTTGGGGAGGGGTCAGAGAGGGAACAATGCTGCTTGCTCAGCTCTTGGCTGGCTTTCAGTCGCTTCTTCCGCTACCCACAAGCAAATAGGGCTCTTCTGATTTATTTCCAGGTGGGTGAGTTTGTGTATGTTCTAGGACCCTGTTGGTCTCCCCAACAAATTCTCCTGTGAGGCTGGGACTTTCTCCCACTGCCCCAACACCCAACAGGTTTTTATAGCCACAGGTTTTGAGGCTTTCTTTTCCCATGCTGGAACCCTGAGTTGTGTGATCTGTCTCGCTCCCCAGTTGTTCCTTTCAGTTTATCTACACATGAATGTGGGACCACCCAAGCCCTCCAGCTGCCACATTACTGTGAGTCTTCTCTGCCCCTGCTAACCATGTGCACCCCTCCTACTGGTCTGGATGATTGTTTCTTCTTTAACTCCTTGGTTGTCTGGCTTCCATACAGTTCAATTTTCTGGCAGTTCTGGTTATTTTTTTAATTTAAATTTGCTGTCGTCCTTCTTTTGGTTGTGTGAGGAGGCAAAGTTTATCTACCTATGCCTCTATCTCAGCCAGAAATCTACCCACTACACTTTGATTAGTATTTGTGTCTCCATTTCATTTGCTGGCATAGCTACAACCTGAACTCAATCAATGTAAGTCTTTCCTCAATACTGACTTCTCTTGAAGAATATTTTTATTAACTACATCTTCACTATATGTAAGCCATTCACTTTTCTTCATACTCATGCAATCTGGTCTTTATTTACATGGTTCTACCCCCAACACCCATTTTTCCAAAACCACTGTATCCTACTCTTCCTTATACTAGTCTCTAAATCTAGCCAGGACTAATAGTGGTAGGCCACTTTCACATACCCTGGGGTAAGCATTCACCCTTTGTTGTTATGAAAACCTGGTGTAAAACTTTAAGAAAAATGGATATAAAGTGATATTTTGGATATTGGTTCTCTTTAAGTCTTTGTTTTCTTTGATAAAATTAAACATGCGTCCATCTTAAAATCAGTATTGAAATATTTAAGGACTTCTCCCAGGACCAGTCCCTCACTTGACTACTTCAGCATTTCTGAAAATGTTTATATTATATTCTTGGGTACCCTTAAACAACAAAAAAAGGGTATATATTTTTTCATCTTGTCTAACTAAACTTGAAGTTCAGCAGCCTAATAAATAAATATACTTTACACAGATCACACATATGAGATTTTCAAATACTTACAATATCATACACTATGACTGACTTATCCACTGATCTTTAAAAGAAAGAAAATGTGAGTGAAAAGTTCTATAAAAACAAAGTATAGCATTTATTTATTAGTATATTAAATTCATTTAAGTAACTTTTTAAGAAAAAACTGAAATACTGATATACAAACATTTAGAATGTACCTTTTCATATTAATGAACTTTTATTCAAAAAACGACATGCCATATATGAAATTTACCAGAAAATTATAAACTTTATTAAATGCTAGCATGTGTTATTTGTACTATATAGCCATAAAGAGAATAAACATTTGTGATGTATAAATAAGGGGCAATCACATCAAGTTAGTAACTCAAAGGGGAAAACCACCACACAAAAAGGCTATTACTTGCTCCCTGTTTTTTTTTCAGATAGCATTGTTCTTTATCATTGATATGGCTGTGCCTTTATTAGTAATCCATGTGTGTGTCTTGACTGTGACTCATTCTTGAAAATTATAATTCTAAACTTGATATGAACTCTACATTGTTTTGGTTAGTGGCATAAAAATTAAAAACAACCAGCTTGGGTTATTCTAGTGGTGGAAAAAATCATACAAAAAAAGCATAATATTATATAACAAAATACATAATTAAAAATAACAGATAAACATGCTTCCACATGATATTTTCCTCCTTTTGGAATTGGTGTTTATATCACCTTGATATATATTGCAAGGCAAGAAAACATAACAACCAAGTGTTACTACCCTCTGTACCACTTTAATAATTTGTAATTATTAAAAATTAGCTGTTTATAGTCTGACCACAGGAGTCATGCCTATGGAAGTCTTAAAATTCCTTTCCATAAAACTTAAAATCACTAATTTATTAAGCTATTCAGTGTTGATAATTTATCTTGACTCCAGAATCTTTGTCATATATTCAAAATAAGAATCAATGTTCACATATAAAATAAAAGAAAATGGGAATCATATAAATGCATTCTGGATGTTAAAAAAACATAGTTATAGCATTAAATGCTAAATTTCAGCCAAAAAACATTAAGAAATCATACTTGCAGCTACCATTACTTGAATATGTACACGCCAGACATAATTTATAGACACTCTTATTTAGTCTTAAATCCCTCAAGCCACAAAGTATTATTACTGGAATATTTAAAATTCTTAGAGAAAATTCCATTCTGAGCATCCTAAAAAACAGAACAAAAAGAAAATTCCAATTTCTGAGACTACCACTAGTACAATTAAAATCAATTCATCCTAATGATATGTCACCTGAGAAGCTGAATTATCAGCAGTAATCTTAGGAGTACTGTGTTAGGAAGCAAGAGTTCATATGGAAAGAGTAAGCAACAGGCCAAACAAATACCATGCTTGTGGACAGGAAGAGTTAACCTTATCCATGCTACCCAAAGCAATCTACAGATTCAGTGCAATCTCTTTTAAAATACCAATGCCATTTTTCACAGAACTAGAACAAATAATCCTAAAATTTATATGGAACCACAAAAGACCCCGAATACTCAAAGCAATCTTGAAAAACAAGAACAGAGTTGCAGGTATCATGCTATCTGAAATCAAACTATATTACAAGACTATAGTAACCAGTATGGTACTGACATAAAAACAGACACAGAGAGTGAAACAGAATAGACAGAGCAGATATAAACCCATGTCTACATGGTGAGTTAATCTATGACAAAGAAGACAAGACTGTAAAATGGAGTAAAGAAAGTCTCTTTAATAAACAGTGCCGGGAAACTAGATGCATACATAAAAAAGAATACAAATGGATCACTTTCTTACATCAACTACAAGAATAAACTCAAATTTTTAAAGACTGGAATTAAGACCTGATACCATAAAACACCTAGAAGGTAATATAGGCAGTAAACTCTTGGACATCACTTTCAGAAATATACAGGGTCCAGAAGAAGCTCAGGGTCTGGAACACCTGCCTGAGTGTGGTTGGTAGGGTAATAATATGGGTGTAATAATTTATAGTTTTAATTTGAACATTTCACCTAAAATGTCATATGGTGCACTTAGGTGTGATATTGTTATGCTGCAGAATTACATGCTTTTCATTTTGTAATAAAAGATTTTGTAATAAAAAAGGGAGCATTATTTGTGCCAGACCCTGTATTTTTTGGATATGTCTCCTCAGGCAAGGGAAACAAAAGAAAAAAGAAAAAGAAAAATAAATGGGACTACACCAAACTAAAAAGTTTTTGCACAGCAGAGGAAACCATCAACAAAACAAAAAGATAATCTACTGAATGGAAGAAGACATTCATCAATGACACATCCAATAAGGAGTTAATAGCCAAAATATATAAGAAATTCATATAATTTAACACAAAAAAATCTAATTAAAAAGGGGGCAGAGGGCCCGAATAGACATGCTCCAAAGAGACATACAGGTGGCCAAGAAACATATGAAAAGAAGCTTAGCATCACTAATTATCTGGCATACATAACTTAAAACCACAATGAGATATCACCTCACACCTGTCAGATGGGTATCAGCAATAAATCAACAAACAAGTGTTGGCGAGGATGTGGAGAAAAGGAGATCCTCATGCACTTTTGGTTGGACTGTACATCGGTGCAGCCACTATGAAAAACAGTGTGGAGAGCCTTCAAAAAATTAAAAAATAGAACTACCATATGAAAACAATCTCATTCACAATTGCTTCAAAAAGAATAAAATACCTAAGAATAAACCTACCCAAATATGTATAAGACCTGTACTTGGAAAATTATAAAACACTGAAGAAAGAAATTGAATAAGATACAAATAAGTGGAAGCACATACCATGTTTATAAATAGGAAGAATTAACATCATTAAAATGTCTATACTACCCAGAGCAATCTACAGATTCAATGTCATTCCTGTCAAGATTCCAATGACGTATTTCACAAAACTAGAACCAATATTTCAAAAATTTATATGGAACCACAAAAGGCCCAGCATAGCCACAGTGATCCTGAGAAAGAAGAACAAAGTTGAGGAATCACACTACCTAATATTAAACTATACTACGAGGCCATAGTAATCAAAACAGCATGGCACTAGCATAAAAACAGACACACAGATCAATGGAACAGAATAGAGAGCCCAGAAATAAACCCACACCTTTATAGTCAATTAATATTTGACAAAGAAAGCAGGCACATACAATGGGTTGAGGATAGTTTATTCAATAAATGGTGTTGGGAAAATTGGACAGTTACATGCAGAAAAATGAAATTAGGCCACCTTCTTACACCACACACAAGAATAAATTCAAAATGGATCACAGACTTAAATGTTAGACCTAAAACCATAAAAATCATAGAAGAAAGCATAGGCAGCAAAATCTCTGACATTGCTCATAGCAATATTTTATTGGATATATCTCCCAGGCAAGGGAAACAGAACTACATCAAACTAAAAAGTTTTTGCACAGCAAAAGAAATTATCAACAAAATAAAAAGACAACCCACAGAATGGGAGAACATATTTGCTGGTACAGCTGACCAAGGGTCAATATCCAAAATTTATAAAGAACTTACAAAACTCTATACCAAAAAACCAAAACCCATTTAAAAAATGGGCAAAGGACCTGAATAGATACTTCTCCAAAGAGGAAATACAGGTGGCAATAGACATATCAAAAGATGCTCAAAGTCACTAATCATTAGAGAACTGCAAATTAAAACCAAAATGAGATATCACCTCACACCTGTCAGAATGGCTATCATCAATAAATCAACAAACAAGTTCTTGCAAGGTTGTGGAGAATGGGGAAGCCTTTTGCACTGTTGGTGGGAATGCAGATTGGTGCGGCCACTGTGGAAAGCAGTCTGGAGATCCCTCAAAAAATTAAAAATGGATTTGCCTTTTGACCCAGTGATCCCACTTCTTGGGAATATATCCAAAGGAACCCAAAACACCAATTCAAAAGAACATAAGCACTCTTATGTTCATTGAAGTGTTATTTACAATCTCCAAAATATGGAAGCAGCCCAAGTGTCCATCAGTAGATGAGTGGATAACACAACTACAGGATATTTACACATCACAATTCTACTTGGCCAAAGAAAATTTTATCCTTTGACAGTATAGATGGACCTGGAGAACATTATGCTAAGTGAAGGTCAGTCAGAGAAAGACAAATACCATATGATTTCACTTATACGTGGAATCTAATGAACAAACTGAACTAACAAGAAAAATAGAGACAGACTCATTGATGGAGAGCAGATGACAGCTATTGGTGGCGGGGTGGAGGTTAGGGGGTGGAGGGATTGAGCAAGAAGGAAAAGGACTCATGGACATGGACAGCAGTGTGGTTGTTGGGGGAGGGGTGTATAACAGGACTAAATGGTAATGGAGTAAAATATAATAAAAATTTTTTTAAACTCATTTCTATGTTATCCTAAATCCTATGTTTTTGGATTTTATACTTCCTAGACCATCAACCCTCAAGAATATATTAAATGTGATTTATAACAGACACTAACCTGAGAATTTTAGCCAAAAAAAAGGCAGATGGCATGGGTATTCAAATTTCGCTAAAGCTTTCACAAGACATCTAATTTCAAGCAATGTAATATCTAATAACCTTCCATACTATAAATTTTAACATGTACTCTTTAGCTACTAATGAACTAACTTGTCCTATAGGATTGTTAACAGTGTTGTAAAGAGATAGGAAATAAAGGTGATTTGAGTTTTGAAATAAAGGTGATTAAGCTTTCTTATGCCAGTCCCTACTGAGCCAGAGAGGGTTGTTTGTTAAAGCCACTCCTAAATAATGACAATTTATTTATTTGTGACAGTCCTAATTCATGATAATCTATCATCCACGTTTATAAAATGGATTAAGAGATATAAGGGGTTTAAATGGTAATGGAAAACATGTAATAAAGATTTTTTAAAAGGTAAAGTATCTTGTTGGGAGGAAAAGAGGACATTTACTTCCTATCTCTTGTATAATAAAATTTATTTTTTGGTCTCTTTTCACCCTTCTCCTCCTGTTTAGCAGAAAAGAACAAACAGATGACTGAAAAGTTTGGGAGAGAACCATCAGCCATGTGGCTCAGCCTCTTCCAGGTTTTCTTCTCCCTGATGTGCTCCTGAGTGGACAGTCTGCAGTGGTCCATACTGCCCAAGAGTGAACAAGTAAGTCAGAGATAGATCAAGTCTAGTTAACAGTTATCTGGCCTCTCTGTCCTGCTTTTCTCTTTCTCTGGTTTTCAACTCAAGAGGAGGGTGTTATTTATTGAGCTCTTAAAACTACACAGTGATGGATGTTTTAAAACTGGTTTCCAAGGAATGCTAAGAACTGAGAATTTACGGGAAAAGGCAGCCTCCATTTGAATTATAACAACTGACTCTTCCTGCTTGAATAGAAGCTGATGCATGTCGTGTTCATTTTGTCTGGTTGGATCAAAAGAGGTGGGGTGGAACAAAAGACAAATTCTAAGGGGTTAGAGGACAGTTGTGGAGAAAGATGGAGGAGAAGTTCCTCCATATTTTGCTCCATGAGGTATGACATCATTCTAATGCTCAAAGCTAATGGAAAATGTGATGCAAATATGAGAATCTTTGTATCTTCTGCTAATCCAAGATATTGAAGAGATTTTCAAAAATGTAAAACAATGCCACTCAGACACTGATGGCTTTTATCTCTAGTTCCACTATCTTGGTAGTGTTAGCCAGTTCAGCAAGGCATAGAAGAAATCTAAAGTATAAGGATTAGAAAGGAAGAGACAAAAACCATCATTATTAATGCACAATTTCGTACATAAAAAATTCAAAATTAGAATCTTTGTAGAAAAACCCATTGTCTTTCCATATATATTTCTCCATATTAGCCACATCTTTTATAATAGCAACAAAAATTTGCTATTATAAAGTACCCAGAAATAAATCTAATAAGAGATGAGGAAAATGTCTATACAGAAGACAATTATTAAAAGAAATCAAGACAAATGGAAAAATAGTCCATCTTCATCTATTAGAAGACTCAATATCATACAATAATCAATTTTCCCCAGATTTATCAGATTCAATATACTCCCAATCAAAATCCAAACAGTTATGTTCAGAGGGGAGAATTGGAAGCAATTTGACAAGCTAATGCTAAAATTTACTTGGAAGTGTCAAAAGCCAATAGTAACCAAAATATAAAGCCTAAGAAAGAATAGCATTAGAACAAAGATAGGCAAACAGAAAAATAGAACAGAATAGCTGGCTGAGAATCATATCCACACATATGTGGTCAATGATTTCTGACAAGTTGGCATAACAAAGTGGGTTTTTCAATGCATAGTTCTGGATGACTGGACATCCACATGGAAAGGAATGAAACTGGACTCCTATTGCACATCATATATACCAATCTAATTTGAGGAACAAGAAAGTTTTAGAAGACAATACAGGAGAATATCTTTATGACCTCAGAACATAAAGAAACTAACTACTAAAATTATAAACTGTAAAAAGGCAAATCCACAGGGTAGGAAAAGATATTTGCAACACATATAACCAATAAATGGCTCATATATAGGAATGCAGGAAGGATATATATTTTTAGCAATAAAGCAATAAAAAAAGATAACCTTGAAGGAAAATGGGCAAGAAACTTGTACAGGCACTTCACAAAAGAGGAAATACATATGGCCAATAAAATTTTGAAATGGTTCTAACCTCAGTGTTTTGGGGAAATGCAAATTAAAGCCACAGTAAGATAACACGTCACACTCATCAGAATAGCTAAAATTAAAAAGACTCACAATACCAAGTATAGGCTAGGTTGTGAAATAATCCTGCTATAGGTATATTCAACCACTTGGAAAACAATGTGTTACCTTCCAAAGTTGAAAATCCAACTATTCTATGACCCATCAATTCCATTCCTATGTATTTATCCTATAGAAACACAGAATCATGAGCACCAGGAGATACAGATATGTTCATAGAATTATTATTATAATACTCCCAAACTGAAAATAATTCATAGCTCATGAACATTAATATGAATAAATTATAGTACATACATGGAATGGAATATTACACAGCAATGAAAACCAATAAACCACAGCTACATGCATAAATATATTTTATGCATTATATGCATTATAAATATATGTATTATAAATATTATGCATTATAAATATATATTATGTTTGCAATGCTGCAATGCTGCAAACATAATAGTGAGTTAAAGAAGCCAGACATAAAATAATTCACATTGTACAATTTGTTTTAAATCAGTTTAAAAGGAAAAAGCAGTACTGCTTATGTCCTGAGGCACTGCCACCAGAAAGGTGGAAGGGGAAGATGTCCTGAGCAGAACCAGGAACGTGCTATTTCTTCACCAGAGCAGCGGTTATAGATTTGTAACACAGTTATTTATCAAGCTATTCTCTGATGTGTTATGTACTTTTCTGTATGCCTGTTTATTCCATATCAAAATGATTTAAGGAAATTAAATGAAATGGCTTACCCTGAGACTAGCAGCTGCCCATTGTGAGAAAAAGCACAAGCCAGAATAGGAGCACAGTGCCCGCTCAGTGTACTTTTATATTTTAATTCAAAACCTGCAAATAATAAGGCGAGAAAGATTAACAAGCTGATCTTGGTTAGAATTCCTTCTTAAGTCAAAGCTATTACACTTATTCAATTAATTAGTGCCTAAAGGACACAAATGAAAAAAATCCTCATGTGACTCAGGCACTGGAATGCTGTGTGTGATTAAGTGGCTTCAGAAGTTCAATAATAAGTAAGGAAAATAGTGTGCTTGGCAAGCACCAGACAGGAGGTTGCTATAATTATCAAAATTTTTTAAATATAAAATTTAAACTATATTACAATCTTGGTGTTTAATTTTTTAAATATATGTTATATATATATTTTGAAAGATTTTATTTATTTATTCTTAAAGAGAGGGGAAGGGAGGAAGAAAGAGAGGGAGAGAAACATCAATGTGTGGTTGCTTCACACATGCCCCCTTACCAGGGACCTGGCCGATAACCCAGGCATGTGCCCCAGACTGGGAATTGAACTGGCAACCCTTTGTTTTGCAAGCCCATGCTCAATCCACTGAGCCACACCAGCCAGGGCATTATATATATTTTATTTAATAATGTACATATACAAATTGTCCAAATACCCTAAAAAAGAATCAAGTACCTGTAGTTTAAGAAATCTGACTTTAAGAAATATTTTCTCATTTCATCAATAAAAATTAATGAATGGTAATTTATATAACTTATAGTTCCAGTATACCTTATAACACTCCTATCAAGTATGATAACACAAAATCCTATCCTTCATGACAGCATGGATAGAACTGGAGGGCATTACGCTAAGTGAAAAAAGCCAGGCAGTGAAAGACAAATGCCATATGATCCCACCTACAAGTACAGCCTAATCAACAAAACAAACAAGAAACCAAAATAGAACCAGAGACAGGGAAACAAAGAACAAACTGACAGTAACCAGAGGGGAGGAGGGAAGAGGGTAACAGGGGGAAAGAAGGGGAAGTGTCCAGTCAAGGAACATGTAAAAAGGACCCATGGACAAAGCTAAGGTGGGCGGGTGGGGAGGAATGAGTGTGGCAAGTGGGGGTTGTTGGTAAGGCAGGGGGAGAGCATTGGGGGAAAATGGGGACAACTAAAATTGAACAACAATAAAAAAATATTTTAAAGTGAAACACAAAAATCCTTCTTATGGTTTGTGTAAACACTTGAAATCACAACTATTTTAAAGGTAAACTGAGGGAATTCAATAAATTTCAGTGGCAATCAATAAAAATAATTTTTATTTTTAAAATTAACTAGTAAAAACAACTTTACTGACAATCAATAAGAATAATTATTAAGAAATTGGCCTGGGACCAATTTCCCAGACAAGAAACTAAGCGAAATCTATTATCTTCTCAGACCTAATAAAAACTCTTTTGAAGTGTTAATGACTCTTAAGATCGCAAGCATTTAACTAAAAAAAAAATCATTAGAGCAAGTGTCAACAAAAATACATATTTGTTTTCATTTAATATTAAATATGTGTTTTATTTCTATCCAAAATTTTTTTAAAGATTTTATTTATTTATTTTTAGGGATGGAAGAGAGGGGGAGAGAGAGAGAGAGAGAGAGAGAGAGACAGAGAGACAGAGAGAGAGAGAGAAAGAGAGAGAGAGACATCAATGTGCAGTTGCTGGGGGTTATGGCCTGCAACCCAGGAATGTACCCTGGCTGGGAATCGAACCTGGGACACTTTGGTTCCCAGCCCGCGCTCAATCCACTGAGCTACACCAGCCAGGGCTATCCAAAATATTTTTTAAAATATTTTTATCTGGGAGAACCGATGTGGGCATTAAAAGCACTGTGTGGAACATACAGATCAGGAAGTAGGCATAATCAATCAAGCAGAGCAAAAATGTTAAGTTGCCAACCAAATTAAGGCCAAAGACTTGCAATGACCATAAGAAAAAATTTTATTATCAAATAAAAGATCCCTATGTCTGTCTACTCCCCCCCCAGTAAAAATTAGGTACAAATGATGATAAATGCTTTATCAAATGCTTTAATTGAACGTTTACAAACTGTTACATTTTTTAAAGAGTCAGTGTAAAGACACATTTTCCAGACAGTGTATGAAAAGCTTTACTTTTGAAGAATTTTATTAAAAATACATTGTGTTCTCAACGTCTGCACATATGACTACTGTCACTGTTTATTATAAGAATTGCACCTTAGTAGGGGCAGAGGAAGAATTAGAATAGATCAGAGAATTGAAGGAACTCTTATCCTCATCAGCAAATACCTGAACACATGAGAAGATACTATGTGCAACATAATACACAGTAAACTAACAAAATTTCCACAAAAAGACATGCATCTATTTCCTGCCAAGAGGCCCTTCTCTGTACACTAGTATAATGACAAAGATTCACTCCTATACCACACTCTGCCAGGCTCTTCTTGTGAGTCCTCTTCTCCATTAATCCTTGACCTTGGCCTATAAAGACTTCAACAGTTTCTAAGAGCTCAGGGTTGCATCTCCAGGATGACCCTAGCCCTTTTAAAGTGCTTGAGAAAACTCAAGGCTGTTAAATACATGTTACTATTTGTTTCAGCACACACCTGAAGATAGGGCTCCTGACTCCCAGGTTCTGTGGGAAAGTAGGAGCTTAAATTCCATAAGTTCCAATTAGCAAATCCAGGTGAGTTTCAGTGGACCAACCCCACCATCTTTCCTACTTTCTGTAATTTTCACTTCCTTGACTCCACAGAGTCCTACTTACCTCTGCCTTCATTCTTCCTTTACAATGCCCGGCCACCTCTGCATAACCTGGAGGTGAGCTGAGCTCACGCTGGGCTCTTTGCCCTGTGGCAGTGGTGTATTATTGGTTAAAACCCGTCCTTACCACTTTAACCAGCACCCCCTCCTGTTTATCTTTGACAATTATGAAGAACAAAATGTAGTCTGAGATATAACTGAAACTTATTAGATAATAAAATAAGAATGTTTTTAGGCATCTAAAGCAAGATGGCCAATTGACCATATATTTCAAAGTTCCCATTAAAATGATAAATAGGAATTCATAAACATATAAATTCACATCAATGAAGAGAACAGAAAGGGGGTGTCAGCAAACCAGAAATTGAAACCAGTTTGGGGAAAGCAAAAAGCAAATTAATTGATGAGGTAGTTTAGAGAAGTAACAGCCTAGAATGCCAAGAGAAAGCTAATCTACCCTAGGAAACCCCAAAAGATTTGGGACTATCAATAGTCAGGGAAAAGCAAAGTCTGAATGATGCAAATACAGATCTGAAAATAGAAAAACTAACCAAGTCATTTTATAAACACTCAGTGTCTTCCTCCAACCCCTCCCTGACCCAAACTGCCAGGGGAGCCCATGACAGTTCCAGAGGACATAACACCTACATTCTCTAAGCCCCAACCCCTGCCCTTATTCTAAATGGGAGCTGGCGACCAACCGATCAACCACCAAGAGCACAGAGCTTCTAAATACCTTGTCACTGTCTCTCTCTCTCTCTCTCTATTTTTTTTTAAGAGAGAGCAAGAGAGGAGGAGGGAGAGAGAGGGAGAGAGGGAGGGAGAGAGAGATAGGCAGGCAGATAGACATCAATTTGGTTTTCTACTTACTTAGTCATTCATTGGCTGACTCTTTTTTGTGCCCAGACCTGGGTTCAACTTGCAATCGTGGTGTATTGGGCCCAGGCTCTAACCATCTGAGCAACTGGCCAGGATCCACTGTCTAATTCTTAAATGTAAATGGAATACTAAGGATCACCAGACATTTGATTTAGATAACTATGTAAAAGAGAAAGATTAGGGTAAAGAAACAAACAAACCAAAAAAAAATGGGCCCAAGAGCAAACAAAGATGATCAGGAAACAAGGGAACTTAAAAACAAAACAAAAAGACTGTAATTGATATGTGGAGAGTTTTGATAGATCTTGCATTCACCAAATAAAAGGAGAACACTAGGAAAAAGAAACAGAAGATGAGCTTTTAGAAATTGAAATGTGATTGATGAGATAAAACAATTCAAAAGAAGGTTGAAAGATAAAGCTGAGGAACTTTTCCATAATGTAGAAAAAAGATTAAGTGATAAATGTGCAGGAAAAAAACAGAATAAGAGTTATATCAGAAGGTCCAACACAATGGGAGTTATAGAAAGAGAGGAAGTAAAGGAGAAATTATTAAAGAAATAACATAAAGGAATATTGTATTCCAAAACGGAATGACTTCAATTTCTTAACTAAAGAGTCACCTGAAGAAATGGTACACTGCATGAGGAAGAGATCCACACTCTGTCCAAGAGCAGTAACTACAGTGAATAAGTTCAAAATATGGTAATATAAATATTTATAGACTCTGAAAACCACCAGGAGAGTCAAAACAGGTAGAGTGCATGGTCAGCTCTGCGTGATGGTGGTGGCGAGGCCACAGTCGGCAGCGGGCACAACATTTTTAAATCATGGGTATATATTACTCTTAGTAAGAGTTCTTAAAAAAGAGACTTCCAGCCAAGATGGAGGCGAAGGTAAACACACTGTGCCTCCTTGCACAACCAAAATAAGAACAACAACAGTTTAAAAACAAAATAACAACCAGAACTGATAGAAAACTGAATTGTATGGAAGTCAGAAAACCAAGGAGTTAAAATAGACATATTCATCCAGACTGGTAGGAGGGGTGGAGTCGGATGGCTGGAAGGGAGAAGGGTCGCAGCACAAAAATCAGTGGCTTGAGGACCCTGGGCGCGGGGTGGCAATGGGCAGACCCAGCAAGGTGGCGATTATGGAGTGGGGCACTGCGCACAAGGTGGCTGGCTGACCAGGCAGTCCCACATTCGTGTGTAGATAAACCAGGCGAAACTGGGGAGTGAGACAGACGGAGCAACCCAGGGTCCCAGCAAGGAGAAATGAAGCCTCAACACACCAATTGAAAACACCTGTGAGGGGTGCGGTTCAGGGAGAGACTCCCAGCCTCATAGGAGAGTTCAGTGGAGAGACCCACAGGGTCCTAGAATGTACACAAGCTCACCCACATGGGAATCAGCACCAGAAGGGCCCAGTTCGCTTGGGGGAAGTGGTGGAAGGGACTGAAATTGGACAGAGAGCAGAGCAAGCACCATTGTTCTCTCTCAGGCTGCTGCCCTACATACAGTGTCACAACCCAGCAACTTGGGGTGCCCTGCCCTGGTGAACACCTAAGGCTCTGCCCCTCACATATAACAGGTGCATCAAGACAAGAAAAAATGGCCCACACGGAAGAACAGATCTAAGTTCCAGAACAAACACAACTAAGCAACCAAGAGATAGCCAACCTATCAGATGCACAGTTCAAAACACTGGCAATCAGGGTGCTCACAGAATTGGTTGAATTTGGTCGCAAATTACATGAACAAATGAAGGCTACATTAAGTGAAATGAAGGAAAATGCATGGGGAACCAATAGTGATGAGAAGGCAACTGGAACTCAAATCAATGGAGTGGACCAGAAGGAAGAAAGAAACCACCAAACAGAAAAGAATGAAGAAAAAAGAATTCAAAAAAATGAGGAGAGGCTTAGGAACCTCCAGGACATCTTTAAAAGTTCCAACATCCAAATTACAGGGCTATCAGAAGGGGAAGAGGAAGAACAACAAGTGGAAAAGGTATTTGAATAAACAATAAAGGAGAACTTCCCCAATCTGGCAAAGGAAATAGACTTCCAGGAAGACCAGGAAGCTCAGAGAGTCCCAAAGAAGTTGGACCCAAGGAGAAACACACCAAGGCACATCATAATTACATTAGCCAAGATAAAAACGAAGGAGAGAATCCTAGAAGCAGCAAGAGATAAGAAACAGTCACCCACAAAGGAATTCCCATCAGACTGCCAGCTGATTTCTCAAAAACAATCTTGCAGGCAAGAAGGGGCTGGAAAGAAGTATTCCAAGTAATGAAAGGCAAGGACCTACATCCAAGATTGCTCCATCCAGCAAAGCTTTCAATTAGAATGGAAGGGCAGATAAAGTGCTTCTCAGATAAGGTCAAGTTAAAGGAGTTCATCATCACCAAGCCCTTATTTTATGAAATGTTAAAGGGACTTACATAAGAAAAAGAAGATGAAAAACATGTAAAGTAAAATGACAGCAGACTCACAGTTATTAACAACCACACCTAAAACAAAAACAAAAACAAACTAAACAAACAACTAGAACAGGAACAGAACCACAGAAATGGAGATCACATGGAGGGTTAGCAACACAGGAGTGGGAGGAGGAGAGAGGGGAAAAGGTACAGAGAATAAGTAGCATAGACGGTAGGTACAAAATAGACAGGGGGAGGGCAAGAATAGTATGGGAAATGTAGAAGCTAAAGAACTTATGACACATAGACATGAACTAAAGGGGGGGAATGTGGGTGGGAGAGGGTGTGTAGGATGGAGGGGAATGAAGGGGGAAAATGGGACAACTGTAATAACATAATCAACAAAATATACTAAAAAAAGTTCTTAAAGCATTTTAATAATCACTTTTAGGTATTCAGAGTACCTTAGGTAAAAAAGATTAGTTAAAATAGAGATTTTATCTAGATCACAAATGATTTTAGAGAACTGCTGGTTGAATACATACCTAAGATGTGGCTAAGAGGAACAACCCAAATTTTGATCTGACAATCCTGACCACATGTTGCCAGTCGAAAAAACTGAAGACTCTGTTCTCCATCTAAAACTGTAAATTTATTGAAAATACACAAGAATTGATAAATCATTTAAACCAAAAATATTTCCACTTCTTATGCTGAGATACTAATTCCATTCATTTAAAACATATTTACAAGCAATATTAATGACCTTATACCATATAATGAAATGTTAGTTGAAGATTTCTTTGAACAAGTTATTTCAAAGGATTATAACTTTAGCCCCTAAAGTTGTTACAACAAAATATCTTTTTATTTAGCTTCCACTAAGAATATAACAGAAGGCTGCAAGGGCCCACACTCAGGCACTAAGCCTTAGGGCATCCTCCAACTCAATTTTAGAGTCCATGAGTTTAGCACTGATCGGAAGAACTAGGAACAAGTAGCAGTTATGATAGGAATGTTAAATGTTTCATTATTCCCAACCTAACTTTTAAAGGCTATGCCCATTTCTTAACAGTTCAGTCTATAATTCATATGGAAATAATGAGATTTTTTTCACTTTTGATTTAATCATGACAAAGGCTGGAGTTATGTAAGTCCAAAATAATATCAATTCAGTATACTTGATTTGGTGGAAAATAGTATATTTTGGTGGAAAATAATAAATTAGAGAATGTAATCAATTAGATTGGGTGTTCAAAAAGAAAACCTCACTAGTTTTTACAGTTACTTGGATAATTTCGGGTATTATTATATACCCACCATATAAGTTCCTAAATACTAGTGGATAATGTAAGTATTGATATCATCACCTTATTTTATAAGAGTTCATCTCATACCACAAATGCAGTTTCATCAAAGAAAGTTCTGGCACTTGTGTTCAGTAAGACACAAGTCAGAAACCTAATATGCATCTTAAGCTTGTACTCCAGTTTTGCAAATATTCAGTATATGGTATTTAAATAAAATATTTTATATATGAGTACCTAAATTTTCTTCCATGAACTCTGTCTTGTTGAAAGTACGCATACTTCATTAACATAAAACACTTTAACTTCATTCTCATGGAAAGTTTTTCTAACACCATGGGATTTCCACATTTCAGTAGCATTTTGGTTTTTAACAGCACAGATTCAGCCAAAAGGCATCCTTTCTTAGTCTTTTTAAGGCAAAACATTTTACTCATTAAATGGCTAAGAGTAAAATATTTAGGTACTAGACTCAATTAGGAAAATTATTTTCCCCATTGTTAGACTAAATAGGTCCTTTGAGGTTAATTAAGTTTAAGTAGTGAGAATTCAGCTAGGACAATGGAAAAGTATGGAGCATAAAATGTGCCTGTGCTCAATATCTAAATATTTAAATATATACTTTTCTTTAGGAAGATATTTAACTCATAGTAATAACCAAACTCAAGTTTTCTTTATCATTTAAAAACTGGAGGGAGAGAGAGATTATTTGACTTTGGGTGGTGGGCACACAATGTAATACACAGATCACATGTCACAGAAGTACACAGTTAAAACTTATGATCTTATTAACCAATGTCACCCCAATAACTCTAATTGAAAAAGAACAGCTATCATTCAACCTCCATTTACAGGCATACCTTACTGTACTGCATTTTACATATGTTGCTTACCTTTTTTACTGAGAGCAAGACCCTCCCCATCAGCAAAAACACTGTGACTCACGCTATTGCGACTTGCTTTATTGTGGTGGTCTGGAACTGAACCTGCAGGATCTCCAAGGTGTGCCTGTATACAACTTAGATTTTCTTCCAGTGCCCTTCCTCCTGGTCTAGTGCTATTTTCACTATAACTTCCTTTTCTAGGTTGCCTGTTTTATTTATAAACAGTAGGAATACCTACCTATGCAAAGCCTCTCTAATAGAAAAGACATATTTGGATTAAAGTTTAAAAACAAATTTTCTAAATTAAAAAAAAATAGGCTCTTTGTTTGGAAGGCAGCTACGCTCACCACCGTACCATCAATACCAACCTCTTTTGCGTAAGTGACAAAAATGTTACTGATATGTAAGAGTTGCTTAAAATAAAAACTGGAGAAAATTGATCATTTATCCTCAAGCACAAATGAGATTCTTTTTCCTTATTTGAGCAAAAAATCAAAGACAAAAAAAGTCAATAACTCATAAGTATTTATTGATATTAATAGTACCAATTAAACAATAACAAATTAAAATTGCATACTCTGTCTTTTAAGAAAATATAGCAGTTTCCACAAATTCTTACAATCATTCCTTTTAAAGCATATATTGATCTGTTTCAGGGAATTTATATAAGGTTAATAATCTATTTTAACGGAAGCTGAAGAAACTGAAAAGACACAGATTAAAATTATAATGAGAAATGTACTTTGAAATATACTCTAAAGCAGGTGAAACATGTGGGTATCACACTTATTTTAGAATCTCACCTGGAATTCTCTACCTGGTTTAAGAACCTTTCCAGGCCCCAATTGCTGCCAATCCCTCTAGAGACAAGTTTGCCCTTAGTTTTACCCTAATATTAACATAATAATGGTATTTTAGTTGGAAATAATTTCAGATAATTTAGAATCAACAAGGGAACTTAAATCTCCCTACTTTTATATAATTTATCAAAGATTCATTGAGTGTGTATAAGATTTGCAGGAGGTGCCACAGAGGTAGAAGAAATGGTTCTTGTCTATTGCAAGATGGTCTTAGAATGATATATTAAAAGAAGAAACCATCGCCCTGACCAATGTGGCTCAGTTGGTTAGGCATCATCCTGCAAAGTGAAGGTGGAAGGTTCGAATCCCAGTTAGAGCACATGCCTCAGTTGCGGATTTGGTTGGGGTACATAGGAGAGGCAACAGATCGGTGTTTCTCTCTCACATCAATGTCTCTCTCCCTCTCTCTGTCCCTCTCTTCCCCTCTCACTAAAAATAAAGAAATAAAATCTTTAAAATAGAATAAATTATAATTAAACTAGGTAGGTTGTTTCATACAAGAACGGGTTCATGAAAAGGACATCTATCAATTTACTACATGATGTTAAAACATTAAAAAACAAAAAATTTCAGCCACTAAAAGAAATTTTATTCATTATTTTACATTTCAGGGCCTACTATGTAACAACAATATCTGTCTTCAGGGGGCTTTCTGTCTAGAAAAAACACCATTAAACATAATCTATATAAATAAACATAATTAAAAATTATCATACTTCTCTACTGTAAAAGAAAAATAAAGTATATAAATACAAGGCTATCGAAATGCCTTAGTCTAGGAGGTAAGAGCAGGGGAGGCCCATCTACAGTGACTTTTTTGCAGCTGAAACAAAAAGTTGATTAAGAGTAAACCAGGCAAAGGGTCCACATGTGAAACCCTTGGAGAAATCTTAGAAACATTCAAGGAATGAAAGAAGGCCAGTGTGGCAAGAGAATGCATGAGGCCAAGTACGATCTGAGATAAGGCAGGGAAATAGAACATGTAAAGTACTTACAGGGTTTATGTTCTGAATTTGATATTTTATCTTACTTTAACATTATTTTAACAAGCTGCAATGGGTCTGAAACGGGGGAGTGCCACAACTGTCCTGCTGCTGTGTGGACCTAAGCTGTCCAGTAAGGTAACGACTAGCCACATGTGCTACAGAACACTTGAAATGGGGCTAGTAAAACAGTGATGTGTCAAATATACACACCGGATTTCACAGACCTAGTGCCAAAAAATGTACATACACTAAAGAACCTGATTTTCACACATAATTATTTCTTTCTAATTTCAATGTGAAAACATAAAGGAGAAGGATGATCCTTAAAAGGAATAAATTTAAAAGGCTCCTTGTTTAATGAAATGAAAATGAATAAAAGAACCAAAAGTCATATACAAATTACAAATGGGACTCACTACTGCTTAAAAGAATAAAATAACTAACCAGAAACTGGCTGCAAAGAAAAATCACAACAGGTAATTCCAAGATCATGTGCTTTTTCACTATGCAGACACTTCATTTTATCATCCCACACTGTTAAATCTCCACATGAGGAGCCAGTGACAAAGAGGTTTCTGCTGGGAGAAAATGCACAGGCAACCAAGGAGCCATCCTTTACATTACCACACCTGGAATGAAAGCAAAAAAGAGGATTTTCATTTCAGAGCATTTTTTACTTTATAATATAATTCTAACAACAGTTTGATAAATGGCTATCACAGAACTTGAAAGAAAGGGCTAGAGATGTCTATAGAAATAAAATGTTATTTTATGCTATAAAATGAAACCTGCTTCGTAAAATTAAGATGATTTACACATTATCTTAACTACCATGTTCAAGCTTAAACTGTAGGGTTCTAAACCAAAGTTCACATATCTTCGTATTATTTTCCCACATAGCAAAGTCAGATAAAAACACTCAGCAAACTGGGTGTAGAAGGAGCACACCTCAGCATAATAAAGGCCATACACGAGAAACCTACAGCCAACATCATAGTAAATAGACAAAAACTAAAAGCTTTCCCACTAAGATCAAGAGTAAGACAAGGGTGTCCACTTTTACCCTTCTATTCAACATAGTATTGGAAGTTCTAGCCACAGCGATCAGACAAGAAAAAGAAATAAAAGGATCCAAATTAGAAAGGAGAAGGTAAAACTGTCATTGTTTGCAGATGACATGATAGTGTACATAGAAAACCCTATGGATGCCATCAAAAAAGTACTTGACCTAATAAGTGAACTTGGCAAAACAGTAAGATACAAAGTCAACATTCAGAAATTGAAGGCATTTTTGTACACCAGCAATGAAATATCAGAAACAGAAATTAGTACAAAATTCCATTTACTATAGTAGCAAGAACAATAAGGTATCTAGGAATAAACCTAACCAAGGACGTAAAAGACCTGTACTCAGAAAACTACAGAACAGTGAAGAAAGAAATTAAGCAAGACACAAATAAATGCAAGCATATACCACGTTCATGGATTGGAAGAATTAACACCATGAAAATGTCCATACTACCGGAAGCAATTTATAGATTCAATGCAATTCCTACTAAAATACCAATGACATATTTCACAGATATAGAAATTTCAAAAATTTATATGGAATCATAAACAACCCCAAATAACCTCAGCAATTTTGAAAAAGAAGAACAGACTTCCAGCCAAGATAGAAGCATAGGTAGACACACTGTGCCTCCTTGCACAAGAAAAAGGACAACAACAAATTTAAAGACAAGAAAAAATCCCCAGAACTGACAGAAAATTGAACTGTATGGAAGTCCAACAACCAAGGAGTTGAAGAAGAAACATTCATCCAGACCGGTAGGAGGGGTGGAGATAGGCACTCGGAGAGGACTGGTGGCAAGGCAGCAGCTGGAGGACTGGGGTGGGCAAGGTGGTGGCTGGCAGACAGGGTGGTCCCACATTTGTGTGCAGATAAACTGGGAGGAACAACTGGAGAGAGAGACAGATTGTGCAACCCAGGATTCCAGTGGGGGAAATAAAGCCTCAAAGCCTCTGACTGAAAAAACCTATGGGGGTTGAGGCAGCAGTGGGAGAAACTCCCAGCCTCACAGGAGAGTTCACTGGAGAGACTCACAGGGTCCTAGAATGTACATAAACCAACTCACCCAGGAATCAGCACCAGAAAGGCCCACTTTGCTTGTGCGTAGCAGGGGAAGTGACTGAAAACCAGCAGAGAGTGCAGTAAGTGGCATTGTTCCCTCTTTGACCCCTTCCCCACATACAGCATCACAACACAGCCACATGGATTGCCCCGCCCTAGTGAACACCTAAGGCTCTGCCCCTTACTATGTAACAGGCACACAGAGACAAAAATATGGCCCAAATGAAAGAACAGTTCAAAGCTCCAGAAAAAATACAACTAAGTGACGAAGAGATAGCCAACCTACCAGATGCACAGTTCAAAACACTGGCAATCAGGATGCTCACAGAACTGGTTGAGTATGGTCACAAAATGGAGGAAAAAATGAAGACTATGAAAAGTGAAATAAAGGAAAATATACAGAGAATTAACAGTGATGGGAAGGAAACCAAAACTCAAATCAATGGTGTGAAGCAGAAGGAAGAAACAAACAGTCAACCAAAACACAATGAAGAAATAAGAATTCAAAAAAATGAGGAGAGGCTTAGGAACCTCCAGGACATTTTTAAACATTCCAACATCCAAATCATAGGGGTGCCAGAAGGAGAAGAGGAAGAGCAAGAAGTTGAAAACTTATTTGAACAAATAATAAAGGAGAACTTCCCCAATCTGGCAAAGGAAATAGACTTCCAGGAAGACCAGGAAGCTCAGAGAGTCCCAAAGAAGTTGGACCCAAGGAGAAACACACCAAGGCACATCATAATTACATTAGCCAAGATAAAAACGAAGGAGAGAATCCTAGAAGCAGCAAGAGATAAGGAAACAGTCACCCACAAAGGAATTCCCATCAGACTGCCAGCTGATTTCTCAAAAACAATCTTGCAGGCAAGAAGGGGCTGGAAAGAAGTATTCCAAGTAATGAAAGGCAAGGACCTACATCCAAGATTGCTCTATCCAGCAAAGCTATCATTTAGAATGGAAGGGCAGATAAAGTGCTTCTCAGATAAGGTCAAGTTAAAGGAGTTCATCATCACCAAGCCCTTATTTTATGAAATGTTAAAGGGACTTATCTAAGAAAAAGAAGATCAAAACAATCAACAGTAAAATGACAACAAACTCACAACTATCAACAACTGAACCTAAAACAAAAACAAAAACAAACAAACTAGAACAGGAACAGAACCACAGAAATGGAGATCACATGGAGGGTTATCACAGGGGAGTGGGAAGGGGAGAGAGGAGGAAAAGGTACAGAGAATAAGTAGCATAGATGGCAGGTAGAAAATTGACAGGGAGATTAAGAATAGTGTAGGAAATGGAGAAGCCAAAGAACTTATATGTAAGACCCATGGCCATGAACTAAAAGGGGGAAGGAATGCTGGAAGGTGGGGGAGTGCCGGGTGGAGGGGGATAAAGAGGATAAAAAAGTTGGAACAATTGTAATAGCATACTCAATAAAATATACTTAAAAGAAAATAAAGAAAAAGAAGAACAGAGTAGAAGGGATAACAATACCTGATATCAAACTATATTACAAGGTCACTGTAATCAAAACCATCTGGTACTGGCATAAGAACAGACACATAGATCAATGGAACAGAATAGAGAGCCCAGAAATAAACCCATGTCTCTATGGCCAATTAATATTTGACAAAGGGGGCATGAGCATAAAATGGAGTAAAAACAGCCTCTTCAACAAATGGTGTTCAGAGATCTGGACAGCTACATGCAAAAAAATGAAACAACCACCAACATACACAATGTACCAGAATAAACTGAAGATCAATAGAAGACTTAAATATAAATCATGACCCCATAAAAGTCCTAGAGGAGGACATAGGAGGAAAATCTCAGATATTCCATGCAGCAATATTTTCATCAATATGTCCCCTAGAGCAAGGGGCATAAAGTAAAGAATAAACAATTGGGACTTCATCAAATTAAAAAGCTTTTGCATGGCTAAAGAAAACATCAGCAAAATGAAAAGGGAACCAACCATATTGGAAAATATATCTGCCAATGATACCTCAGACAAGGGTTTGATCTCCAAAATATATAAAGAACTCACACAATTGCACTCTAGGAAGACAAACAATCTAATTAAAAAATGGGCAAAGGACCTGAAGAGACACTTCTTCAAGGAGGACATATAGAGGGCCCAGAGACATATGAAAGGATGCTCAGCATCACTAGCCATCAGAGAGATGCAAATTAAAACCACAATGAGATACCACTTCACAGTGGTCAGAGTGGCCATCATCAAAAAAATCAACAAAGAAGTACTGGTGAGGATGCACAGAAAAGAAAACCCTAGTACACTGTGGGATTGCAGACTGCTGCAGCCACTGTGGAAAACGGTATGGAATTTCCTCAAAAAACTAAAAATGGAACTGCCTTTTGACCCAGCAATTCCACTGATGGGTATATACCTTAAGAATCCTGAAGCACCAATCCAAAAGAACCTATGCACCCCAATGTTCATAGCAGCACAATTTACAATAGCCAAGTGCTGGAAACAGCCTAAGTGCCCATGAGTAAATGAGTAGATCAAAAAAACTATGGTACATTTACACAACGGATTACTACGCAGCAGAAAGAAAGAAGTAGCTCCAACCCTTCAAGACAGCATGGATGGAGCTAGTGAGTATTATGATAAGTGAAATAAGCCAGGAGGTGAAAGACTAACACCATATGATCTCACCTGTAGGTGGAACCTAATTAACAAAACAAACAAGAGAGCAAAATATAACCAGAGACATGGAAATAAAGAACAAACTGACAGTAATCAGAGGGGAGGAGAGAGGTGGGTAATGGGGAAAAGAAAGGGAAGGGAGAAGTCAAACAACATGTATAAAGGACCCATAGACAAAGACAAACAGGGCGAGGGGTGGTGAGAAGATTGAATGTGGGAGGTGGGGGGGTAGGTAAAGCAAGGGAGAGTAATGGGGGAAAATGGGTTCAACTGTAAATAAGAGTAATAAAAAAAAAAATTCAAGCCCTAGCTGGCATGGCTCAGTGGATTGAGCACTGGACTGTGAATCAAAGGGTTGATGGTTCAATTCCCACTTAGGGCACACTCCTGGCTTGTGGGCCAGGTCCCCAGTTGGGGGCATGTGAGAGGCAACCACACACTGATATTTCTCTCCCTCACTTTCTCTAAAAATAAATAAAATCTTTTAAAAAATCTCCAAACCTTAACAGCAATGAAAATCAACAATATCAATTATAGTCACATATTTTAATAAAAAGATAAAACTATTTTTATTGAATGACACATGATTGGGGTCGAAGCTACTTTCAACTTTTGTTTTAAAATCACCCAGAAGCAACAGTAAGTCCTTTCACCTTATCTTCAAATACAGATGCTTTATGAAAGGAAAATGCTGTGAACAAGTCAAAATTATCTTGGGAAGATAAAGCAGCACTGTACTACTGTGCTAACAATACCATTTTCTCAATCAGGGAAAATAAATGAGTAAAAAACAATTAGTGCAGAGTCCTAGCCAGTGCTTGAATTTATTTTAGTGTATCATGTTACATCATTAGTTACATAGTGTACTGGGTTGGCCAAAAAGACCATATGATTTGCTCGGTAAAATGAAGGACACACTTTTCAGTTTCACCAATAACTTTATTGATTTGGATATTTTGAGTATGTCGGCTATCTCCTGCATGGTATAACGTTGCTTGTTCTCAATTAATGTCTTGATTTGATTGCTATCAACTTCAACTGGTCTACCTGACAGCAACTCAAATGCAAAAAAAAAAGATCTATGCAATATATCGAGAAGGTGCAGTGTATGGATCAAATGTGTCAAAAGTGGTTTGCAAAATTTCATGCTGGAGATTTCTCACTGGATGATGCTCCACAGTTGGGGAGACCAGGTAAAGGTGATAGCGATCAAGAGATTAATTGAGAACAATCAACATTAGACCACATGGGAGATAGTCGACATAACTCAAAATATCCAAATCAATAGTTATTGGTGAAAATGAAAAATATGTATTTTAATTCACAAAAAAACCCTAAATGGACTTTTTGGCCAACCCAATAATAAAGCATAATATGACAAAAATGTTGCATATTTTCTTCCATCTTCAATATTAAAATGGCTACACAAAAATTCACCAATTTTGATGAGTTTTTTTTAAAAGCAAGCTGATATGATAGCTGTCACAATACAATCAAACAAAATTGTTTTGAATGAAGTTAAAGACAACTAAGGGCTACTAGAGTTATCTTATGGAAAAAACAAAACAAACTTTTTGGCCAACCCAATACACCAGAGAACTAATCCTATAAAGACAGAATTCATCACCTGATAAGTAAAAAAGATTTCTTAGATGGCAGCTGTAGTTCATTCACAGGACATAACTTAAAGACATTTCATTCTGTGCTTTCTTTTTAAACAGTTTATTAACACCACTTGAAACACATCACCTTCTTCAACCCAAAGACCTAAACCTAAGTGAGCAACAGTTGTTCACCAGCCAGCACTTGTGCTCTGAATGGCATTGAGGGGTAGAGAGAACAGAAGGTACATTAGGCTATTTTAATTGTTAACATTTAAATGTTTATGGTTTTTAATGTGCTTAATGTCACTTAAAAGTGGTAAATTTTGTTACAAACATTTCACCACATCAAAACATAAAAGCACATATTTTTAATGTTATGTTTTAACAGAAAATCACTTATATAAATTAGCTGATGTATTTTTATCCAAAAGGAGTTTCCAGGTGTTGGTTATGGTTTTTTTAAGAAATAGTCACACAGTGCCACTCTAATCACAAAGCACTTTCTTCTGGGTGTGGTCCTCCACCCAGCAAGAATCCTCATCAGGAAAGAGTTGTGTCTTTATCTCTGAGAACACTTGAGCCAATGAGCTACCAACAAAAATAAAGCCTAAAATTACTCATCTTATTCAAAAGACTGTTTTCTTTGCCTAACTCTCACTATAAAAATACAGAAAAATCTAATAAGAATAACCCTTATTTTACAAAACAAAGGAAAACTCTACGACTCCAGCCAATCTACTACAAGAATCACACTAAACATCTGTTTTTATGACCTTCAAAGGACAGGTCAAAACATTTTTCTTTGTGATGTCTGAAAAGTATCTGATTCTTAGTCATCAAAATAGTGTTTCTATTATTTTTTGTTAGGCCTATTTCAAAGGATTGAAGACAGAAAAGGTTTAAATAGTCATACCTATGCAACTTGTATGACTGCGCATTCCACAGAACAACAGTTCCATCAGCTGCCCCTGACACCAAACAAGTGGAGTCTGGGGAAAACCTGCAAACCCGCACAGGACTCCCATGAGGCTGTTCCAGCACTGCCAGTGTCTGTCCATTTTGAATATTCCACAGGACAGTGGTACCATCTGTTGAACATGAAGCCAAAATATGTCCTGAAGGGGAGAAACAGCAGCAGTGAACAGCATAGGTGTGAAACTTCAATGGAGAGTGTGGCAATTCAGTGAAGTCACTCAGGGAATACAGGCGAATTGTTTTGTCCAAGGAGCAAGTAGCCAAAAGGGAAGAGGAGAAGGCACAGCAGTTGACATCGTCACCATGATCAGCTAATGTGTGAATCAGTTTCACCATGTTCTTCCCTTGAAGCAAAATATCCTGCAATTTTAAAATTGATAAAGGTTACTTCATCCTTGAAAGCAAATAAATCCAACTCAAATCCATACATTGGAATGGGCCAGAATCAACTTATGAATTTTTTCACTGAAAACTCCTGTATTCATATTTTTAAAGGACAGTCTATTATACCAGGGATAAGGGCAATTTGAAGAGGGGAAAAAAACATTTATATGACCATAACCTCTGATGATGATCATGGTGACAGTGCCATGCCAATTAGTTCCGTAACTCCTAAAAAAGAACCCTGTCAAACAACTTCAAACTGCCTTAACGTTAAACATCTAAAACCTCAGGTATTCGTTTCACCTTTGAAGACTTGCCCTTAACTCACTACTTCTCCTCACTGTCTCATTCTAGATTTGCTCATCTCAAACTCAAAAAGATTTTCACTATTTTAACAAACTGTCTCAGCTGCTCCTTCCACAGGATGGAACCAAGGTAACTGCTCTGCCTTTAAGATGCAGAACTGTAGGGTTCACTCATAAAAACTAACAAAAGGTTTTACTCAAAATATTAAGTAGCAATGGATAAACTATTGAAGTCATGGTTTGTCATCCTGTGTAATTAAGGATAAAATGATATAAGAGATTTGAGGTGAAGGACCAAATTAATAAATTCAGGAAACCAAGGGAAGGAAGGTGACAAATTCATAATAAAATCCAAACTCCTCACCAGAGCTTACAAAGCCACATTCCCTCTCCCTCACTTCTGTCGAGCCTCCTGGGTCAAAAAGACCCTCCTGGGTCTTTGATCTTCATAAAGTTGCGTTCTTAATTTGAAATCCTCTTCCCTTGTCTTTTGGGATCCTATTTCTCATTTAAACTTCAATTTCAGTGTTCCTTTTCAGAAAGGATTTCCCAATCTAAAGCAGCCACTCTCTAGCCCAGCACATCAGTCCCCAGTGTACCAATTACCACCACCTGATGTACTGTATTCTGCCATGTATGATGTGCTCTTGTGTGCATTATATGTGGGATTATTACATCTGTTATTATGCCCATATGTAATCATTACACCCATGTATAATGTGCATCTTTATTTTTCCCTAAAAAATTTGGGCAAATAGTGCTCATTATACATGGCAAAATATGAGTACTTATTATTTGTCTCTCCCCATTAGAATGTAAACTCTAAAGGATTAGAAGTATTGTCCATCTAGCTCCTTGCTGTATCCATAGCATGTAAAACAGTGTCAGGCACATTCTGTGCTCAAATAAATATTTGTGGAAAATTTACTCTTTCCAAATCCAAGGGAGCATTGAAATATTATGTGAACATAATGCAAAATGATAAAATTTAAACTAAAACTATCAATTCTAAAAAAAAATCTGACAGTGGAAAAATGGTGTAGAATGAAGTAAGTAATAATCAGCCCTGAAGGGAAAGGTATAACCCTGGGTTGTAAAATACATAATTTCTTGTTCTAATCTTATTTACACAAATCTCTACAAAAAGATGGAGCGTGCCTTTTCTCATTTTCATCTTACCCCAAAAGTTCAGCCTTTTCAAACATAAACTCCAATAAAGCTTAACACACACACTCACACACACACAATACCACACGTAAAGTCCTGGTGGATTATCGTATTTTTGCATTGAAAACAAGCAAGATCAAGATCAGGTGGCACTTTCTGGCGAACTGCCAAATCCCAATTATGCAAACGTACATACATAATTTTCCAAACAAATTTTGGCTTCCTCGCCCTTGTGGCACTCCGCTCCCTTTGCAGTTAGAGCCATACAGTCGAAGGACAGAGATCTAATCAGCCTAACAGTTTATTTTGGAAAGCACTCTCAAACCTCGGGGTCTGGGTGTCCAATAAGGCCTCAGCTGTCCGGCCAGAGGCTCAATGCCCGGACAAACCGAGTCAACTCTCCGGTGTCAACACGCGAATCCCCATCTAATCCAAAGCAAACACGTAAAGTGCCAAGGATATCCCCAAATATAGCCCAGGACTTACTCTTCCCGCACGCAGGGACCAAGCTTTTGCCCAACTCTGACAGCCAGCCGGAACTCAGCGGACTGAGAGACCCAGGTGGGAGGGCAGCCTTGGTGCCCTGTGTTCATCCTGCAGCCGGCGGGGATCCCGGCCTTTCCGGGCGCGGGCCCAGCTGGGGCTCCCACACAATGTCGGCAGGCCCTGGTCCGCTGACCGGCCGAGGCCTCACTACAGGGCCTCTCTCCCGCCAAGGTCCGGGCCCATTCCTGCCGCGCGCTTAGATCCAGACACCGAGAGGCGGGGAGTTCTGACACCCCAGGCGTGGAGCTCCCCAAGTTGACCCTAGCAGCGACCCCCTACCTGCCGCTGCCGCAGTTACACTGGTCCCGGGCGCAGCCCCTTTCACCTAGAAGACCAATTCCCTGAGGGATCCGCCCTCAGGTGCAGCTCCAGAGTCGCCGGCCAAGGACCCGCAGGTGGGAAGAGGGTGTGGCCGGCGCAGGTGCGGCAGGCGGGGCTGGCGTCCCCGCAAACCGACAGCAAAACAAGCTCCGCCCACAGGGGCGGAGTGCGTCTTAGCGCATGCGTACTCTTCGGTCTTTAAAGGGGAGGTCTCTAAACTCTGACTCCAGGAACTACGAGTTCAGGTTGGGGAAGAATCTTTTCGTTGCAGTTTTTTCCCAGTTGAGGAAGCTGAGTTCCCAAGGTCTAGGGAGTTCCTGAAATATGGTTTTAAAGGAGACACTATTAAATACCCGATTAGCCCCGACGGGTGTAGCTCAGTGGAGCATCCGTCGCCCGGCAAACCTGAAGGTCCCTGGTTCGATTCGGTCGAGACTCGGACCGGGATTGCTGGCAAGGTCCCCGGTGGAGGACAAGGGAGAGGCCACGGATCGATGCCCCTTTTCAATGTTTGTCTTCCTCTTTCTCCCTCCCTTCCCCTCTAAAAATAAACAAATCTTAAAAAATAAAAATATCCAGTTATTCCAGCTCTAAGAGAAGATAATGAACCTTCTTCCTCTCCATAGTCCTTCGCCTCTGTTCTCACTCACCTCCCGGATTGGGCTCTCACGTTTAAGCCAGCTCTGCCCTTAGCGGTCCATGATGGGGGCCTTCTGCCATCCATCACCTTTGCACTCCGGTTTCCCCAATCTGTTTCCAGGGCAGGCTGCTCCCCATCCCCACGCTACCCTTGGGCCACAGCCCTGCAGTGAACTGTCCGGGTGGATTTTCTGGACCACCTGAACCCGAAGTGCGTTTCTTCTAGCCCTTTGGATTGTTTCGAAGGCTCACAGGTGGACCGAGGTTTCGATGTGTAAATGACTACAAGCGGGTTTTGCCAACTCCTTTTGAGATTAAAAAGTCCAGAAAAAAGTTCGGAGGCATGCTAATGCTGTTCATTACGTGTATGACACAGTAGAGGAATATGTGCAGATGAAAATCAAGGATACATATAGATTTTACTTTTTAAAAAATATTTTACTTTTAGAAAGAGGGTAAGGAAGAGGGAAACATCATGTGTGGTTGCCTCTCACGTGCCCCCTACTGGGGACCTGGCTTGTAACCCAGGCAAGTAAGTGCCCTGACTGGGAATCAAACCGTAACCATTTGGTTTGCAGGCCGGTGCTCTATCCACTGAGCCACACTGGCCAGAGCAGATCAATTTTACTTTTAATACGTGCAACTTCAGAGGCTTTTTTTTTGTTTGTTGGGAGTTGTTTGTTTTTTAATGAGGGAACATAAAATTATCAACCTGAAGAAACCCAAAGTCATATATTTAAAGTGATAATCTAAAATGATCAAATTTAAAAAATGAAATTGAGAGAGGTGGAAATGATTTGTAATGAAAAAAAGACAAAGAGATCAAAATTTACGATTTTGAGAGGCTCCTGTGGTTTTTAAATTAACAAGTGCATCATGACTGAGACTTTGAATACTTACATACCAAATACTCCCCAAAGAATATTTTTCTTAAAAAAGTTTTGATTGTAAAAATAATAGAGCTCTTTGTAGGAAATACAGAAAACATAAATAAGAAAAATAGCCAATAACAGCACCACTCAAAGATAACCACTCACAGATAACAGTTCCTTACAAAGTCCTGCCAACTGTCTTTTAAAACTTAATTTGTATCTTGAGCCTTTTCCACGCCTAAAATTTCTTCGGTATTTTAATTAATTTTTGTCTGTGTACTGGTCCACATTTCCAGAAACATGCCATAATCAAACATTTTCCTGTTGCTGGATGGTTGTTTCAATGTTTGTACTTATTATAAATGATAACAGTTAAACAGCTTTGCACGTAAATCTTTATGCACTCTTCAACATTTACTAAGAAAAGTGTTAAATAGAAATGGAATTACTAGGCATGACTTTAGAGATTCTTAATAAATATCACCATATTGTTTTTCAGAGAGGTTGGTTTACACTTTCAGCAACATATGGTTGTATGCCTGTCTCTCCAAATTCTTGACAGACTTGAGGAATATTTTTTATCTTCACTAATTCAATGACTAAAATTGGTTATAATATTCTTGAAGTAAAACGTGTAAAAGAAATCCTTGCCTGCACAGAAACCCCTGCCAGTAGTGTAGCATGAGACCTCATGGCCAAATATGATCAGCTATCCCTGTCCTGCAAGGAAAAGCAGCTTCAAAAGGGGGAGCTTTATTATAGGTGCTCTCTAGTCGACCAGTTTGCAATCCAGGAGATGTTAAATAACTTGTAAATATACTAGAGAAACATTGTAAGAATTTATAAAGATCTTTGATCACATGAGTTAACTGGTTACCTTATGTGATGGGACAGAGTGTCAAAATAGTTGAACTTTGAAATGGAATATTGCAGATTTGAATATTTTATGCATTCTTGAATTATGTAACTGTGGTAGTTAACCCTATTTTATCATTAATTTCTGGTTCCACTCCTTGTAATAATGCCACTTGAATATAGAAAACAATTTTAAATGATATATTTAAAGAAAAACTAACTGCTCAATTAAATAGTATGCAATACATGCTCTCAAAATACAATTACGGTGGGAACAGATAAGTGTGAAGCAAGGAGTGAGTCACCTATTACTAAAATGTGTAGTCGAGAGTAACCCAGAGTGCAAAGAGAAAGGTGCTGGACTAACTGAAAAGGTGGGTGTAAGAATGGGTCTTCAGTAGGCTTGAAGAATGGGCCAGCTGAGGGATGATAAGCTTGGGAAACACCTAGTTTTCACAGTTAATACTTAGGGATGTGGGTTTTTTGTTTTGTTTTGTTTTCTTGCAGGCAAACCCATGACCAGGGTTTCCAGAATAGTTGGGCAGTGTAGAGTACGAGATGTGGTAACTCCCTTGTGTGTTGTTTCCAAAATTGTATCAAGTTCAACACATACGATATGTGCATTTGTGTGTGTATATTACACTTCAAAATGCTTTTAAAAATTAAGCAAAAAAGAAAAAACTCAAGGACACAGACAATTGTGTGCTGATTTCAGGGTAGGGGGAGGGAGGTGGGTGGAGGTGAAAGAAGGTGTAAGGGGGATAAATAGTAATGGAAAAAATACAATAAAAATAAACATACACTATTTTGTATATATGAAACTAATACAAAATATTACATGTAAACTGTAATTAGAAAAATTAAACCAAAAATTAAACATACATAGCAATCTCAAAAGATCATATGCTCACTCATATTTTATCATTGCATTTATATAACATTCTTAATATAACAAAACTATAGAGATGAAAAACAGACCCGTGGTTGCCAGGGGCAGAGATGGCTGTGGGGAGAATGCACATATGATTATAAAAGGGTGCCACAAGGGAGATCTTTGTGGTGGCGAATTAGCTCTGTATCTTGATTGTGGTGATAGTTACATGAAGCTATATGTGCCATAAAATAGTTATACAAAGGCATTGTGTCAATGTCAGTGTGCTTGTTTTGGTAGTATACTGTAATTAAGATGCAGCAGTTGGGGGAAATGGTGACTAGCACACGGGACCCCTATGTAGTATCTTTACAACTTAATGTGAAACTGATTTTTTTCAAAATAAAAGTGAAAAAAAATAATCCAAGAGAATGGTACAGGGTCTCTCAGGATGATGCAATCATTCACTCTTCATACCTGGTGCCATGCACAGGGCCACTGTGGAGAACTTGGAGGATCTGAGGCACTACCTCTGGGGGCATGCTGTTATCTTCTGCATCTTTTCTGAACTCCCTGTATCTTTTGACATTAAATAAACTTTACACTCTCTAGCTGGCTCTCTTTCCCTTCCATTACCAAGTAATGAGAGTTGAGCACAGTTCTTTAAGTTGGTGGTCCATGTACAGGGTGGGGAAAAGCAGTGACCACAATTGTGGTGACCACGTGAAGCACAGTTTGTTCTTGTATTTTTATGAGTTATGATATTATTCTCCACACAAACAACTGTAAACCTACTTTTGCCCCACCCCATATAGAAAGGAAAGACCCAGAGGCTGCCAAACAGAGGACGGGGAAGGCTCGAGCTGGGCACAGTAGGAACTGCCTGCTGAGAGAAACCGTGCACGTGGCTGCAGACGCAAACACTAAAGAGGAATGTGGTGGCATGCCTGACACTTGGGACGCTGTGGTACATCTCAGTTGTGTCCTTCCTTCCTCTTTGACACAGACACTTCTCTTGTTTACAGATTTTTAAGTTCCAACTTCCCATAATTTAATTTTTTATTTCTCCTGTCTCAAATTCTTTCTTTTCCAATATCTTCTTATTAATGCTCTTCTAGAGAATTCAAGGTATTAAAAATGCATTTTTGGAAACATACTCCACATTTTTGGTTTCATATTAATGGTTTAGGATTACATAAGAAAATATGACATGGTCGAATCAAATTCATTTAACAATAGTCCAACTTACAGAGCTCACAAATCATGTCTCCTATTCATTGTAGTCTTGGACATAGCATTTTGATGGCACCAGTCTCTGCCACACCACAGCATCCTGTCAGCTAATGATAAGGTGGAGTTACATCTGTATTTTAACCTGATGGTTTGGTATCAATATTTTTTCAGCTTTTCACTAATGACTTTCAAACTGAATTTTCCATAAAGGAAATCAAAACATTCCTTTAGTTTTTCTTTTGTTTGTAATTCAAAGAGGGAAGAGCACTTACATTTAAAATAATGATAAAATATCATACCTAATGTGGAAAATTCTGTTTTTTCAAAAATGAGTACAACATTTATCATACTTCATGCTCTTCAAGGACTTTGCCACTCAGTCATCAAGAAGTGAGGTTATGTCCCTTCCTCTTGATCTGCGAGGCTAGTAAGACTGCCTCAACTCAGAGTACATACACGATTTCCAAAATTAGGGCACAAAGGCAATACAGCCGTTGGCTCACTCTCCCTGTGCACTCAGCCACCATGCTGTGTGGTCAGCAAAGTCCATATTGCTTCCTTTACATGCCATGGATTTATCCTAATAATTTTCCTGAAGTAGTTTAAGTTATTAGACTACACTGCAAAATAGAAGCTCTATAGCTAATAAGTATAATCTAAATGACACCATTTCAATTA